GACGAAGTTCAAAGTCGCTTTCGCATTTTTGAGTTTTCAGGACACCAACGCACGAACAAATTATTTAAACTTCAGTTATTATATAAAAGGCAGATTTTTTAAGTCAACACTAACATTTGTAGCCTTTTGCGCACTCCAATAGGACTTGCACTTGCAGACCCATCGAAATTCAGCCACAGATTCAGAGCTTACAGAAGAAACGTACGGATTTGATTTCACTTACATTTCGTTTAGCATTATTTGGAATGAGTGTTGTCGCCCCTCCACCTTCCTTTCCTCTCCCAGTTGCCGTTAGTGCTTGCTCACGAAATTCAGTATTAGTTTGTCGAATTTAAGGACCTCGTGGAGCAGAGTGCTTTTAAAGCTTACGGCATCTGTCAGTGGTTCTCTGTTATTACACTGAAGTGTGCTTTGACTCTGTGGCTACTCCAAACGATATAGCGACATTCAGAATGTGCTATAGAACGTCACAGTTTTTGAAAGGCGCAGCTTGCAAACTCTTGTAGTGATTTTTCGGCCGCTTCGCCCCTCCTTTACATTCAGCACCAACGTAAACAGATTTGGTGAAACCATGGCCAATTTTTTCAGTGATTTTAGTGTTCCTGATGTATCTGACACCAAGTGTGTTTATTCACATCAAGAATTTAGAAGCAGTTCGCTACGAACAGGCCCTTTGCACAGTGTTCAGTGATTTGACACCATTCGGGTTAACGTCGGATTAGCTGTTCTTTACGATCACATTATTCTATGTCTGGTTGTCTAAGTCTGAATAAGAGTCAGAGGAATACATTGCTTTACCGTTATCGTTTTCATGCCCGAATTAGGTTTCTCCAAATATTCATAGAGTGACTTTCGAACGACTTCCGCTCTTGAAAGCGAAAACTGTATAAACGATAAAACTCTAAACGGGCTTACGGTGCTGGTCTACTAGGCAAATGCTGACAACTTACTATGGTTCGATCGAAATGATTGATTGGCTTAGTGCACAAATTTTTGCGAAACTCTTGAACATCTGTTCGTTGGTTACCCACAATCAGTTTCATCAGCCGCTTCTAAGTCTTTACTGAATATTGCACGTCGTTTTATACTCTGCGCGGAACAACCTTTCTATGTTTACCTTTCCTTGCTACGTCTCAAGGTGAAGAACGCAGTTTGCACGAATCGAAGTATCTCATAACTCAGAGTTAACCATATATATATGAAAAGGGTGATGATAGAGAAACTCCACACATTCGCCAGATATAGTCCTGCAAAGAAATCCTTGAGTTTGGAAGTGTGGGGATATTCTGTATATATTGAAAGACTGTTCAGCTGACTGCTCGAACTGCTGTCAGATTCAGGGAAACTGGTCGCGTAGATCAATTTAGGGAGGTTTAGAGAGGAGAAATGGTATGCGATTTGCCCAGTTCAGGCCGACATGATTCGAACTTGAGAGTTTACTCTGTCCCACCTTTTGTTCTTCATATGATTACACAACAGTGTGCCCGTTCATGTTAACTTGTAAAATAGTGTGAGAATCCTTAAAGACAGATGAAAAACCATGTATGCCATGAAGTCGAAAAAAATGGCTAATGCGTGATTTCCTATTCACTTTGGATTCACTAGGGTGATGTGTTTTCACATTCGGCATTGTATTTTGTTCTGAATCAGCCCTGTCGATCTGAAAAAGAGGAAGGTGTCCTTGCGAAAGTGAGGCGCTGTTCAAGCTATCTGATCATCTGTATTGCTGATATGAATCTTATGAATAGTACTTGAAGTTAGCTTCGGAGTATAGCACTGAGTGGCTTCTGTATATAGCACTGCTACTAAACTATCTCTCCTCCTTAATGCCTGAAAGTTTAAATTTATCAAGAATCCACCCGGTGCTATAAATCCGTTTGGGCGACAGTGAAACAGTAGATGATTTTGGTCCGTTAAGTACTTTACTTCAACTGCTGCCGGTTCTAATTGCATACAGTTAACTATCCAAGTCGTTGCGTCTAGCGCTTTCGATAGCCTTCCAGTACTTGGAACCGTAAAGAAATATTTTTTTCACAAAAATCGCTGCCAGTTTCCTTGGCCACGTCTTTGCTACTGTAGGCATAAAATCGACTTTAGAAAAAAACGACTGAACGTCATAGAATGGTGCAAGCTTCGACTTTTAATGAAGATTAAATTGCAGGATCGTATAAGAAGTTATTCTCTCTTCTTACGGGAACAGGTATGCGCGGAATAACGAGAAATTAGGAAAAGGTGGTTGTTCCTGTCCAGCATCCAACGTGGACGAACAACATGCGTTTGGAGTGGCATTTACTTCTGCAACGCTGTACCCGTTGCCTTTTAAAAAATGTGTAAAATTGAAGTGTACAGCGGATATCAGAAACCGGAGGCGTTTTACTTACGTAGATGACTCCAGGGAGCCTTCACATCAACGGGTACTTGCCTTTGGTGAATCGTGGAAATTAAATTTTACCGATTATAAAATAACAGTTAACGTGGGCCATAAATCAGGCAACACCGGATAATTGCTGGGCCCGTTCCTGAATCAGCTGTTTTAATTTGCTTCAGTCAGCTATCATTTAACTCCCTTTCGATATGACGCATACAGCATGCGACAAGTAGTGGCGGTTGATTCAGATACAGGAGTAGGTAAACATAAAGGATAGGAAGATGCCAAACGAAGCGTTGAGCCAGCAAGAGCTTTGGTTTTTAAACACTTTTCATTCACTCATTCATCCATTTCAATAGCCGCTTCTACTTATGGATCGCAGAAGCAGACGCGATGCATCAATTCCTGTGCCGTCTCAGATTCAGCACACGGCAACCGGAGTCAAAAGAAATCTCCTTCAATACACTTGCACCAGGTTAATCTTGGCCGTCCCTTGGTTCTGCGGTCGACTGACAAGTAATCGTTGGTTCATCTGCCTTTTTAAAGGCATTCGCGACATGTGCCCAAAATATCGCAGCTGACTTCCCAATCTGAGGAAATAGCGACTGTACACCAAGTCTTTCGGATATCCCTACTCGGGACCATGTCAAGTCGTGAGACAAGCGATTCGTTTCAGAAAGTCCATATCAGCCGCTTGTACCCGAGATCGAACATTTTCAGTCATGGTCCACGACTCATGACCGTAGGTAAGCATGGAGATTAAGATCGACTTGAACACCGAAAAATTAATCTTCAGACTCAACTCTGCTTTAGTCACAACGACGCAGGCTAGTTCACGCAAAATGCCGGAAGAAAGCATTGACTAGAAGAACGAGAAACCACTATACTTTTCGTTTTAGATGCACTCACAGCTATGCCGGCCACGTCGCACTCGGCTGCGAACCTTTCCAGGGAGCACTGTAGATCGGTTTCAGAAGATGGCACTGAAATAAGGTCGTCTGTAGACAGCAACCTTCTCGTATCGACATGTCCTACGCTAATTCACTCATCGCCTTGACTGCGCCCGACTGTTCTGTCCATGTACAACAGGCGACATCACGCGGCCTTTGCGGGTATTAGTGCCTATGCTGAAAGGTCTCGACTTAACGCCGTTTCCTTCGACGCAGCACCAGCTACCAGCATATAATGATTAGATTACCTTTAGTAACTGGTTCGCAGGCACACCACGGATTGCCTCTAGGTCTCAGAACGCATTATGTGCGAGCTCCCACGATTTCTCAACAAGTTGGAGTAGAGCAAATATCTAGTCAGTTGTGCTTCCACCAAACCAGAAGCCGTATTTCACATTCTGTTTCGCAGTGAGTTATTCCGTGACACCTCCTCTGTAGCACCTTTGCGTAGACTTTACCTGAGACGCTCAATAAGGTAATGCCCTGATAATTGGGGCACTCACTCTGGTTTCCCTTCTTGAACAGGGCTATAATAACCCCCTTTCTCTAGTCTCCAGGTGTCTTTCCTTTAGCCACTGCAGTTTGCGGACATGTGCAAGACAGCACATGCCTTGTTCGCCTAAGGGATTAAGCATTTCAGGGCGAATTTCATCGATTACAGTTGCTATTTCACAGTTTGTGTGGTTTCATCTGCGGAGGTAGTAATATTCGTTACCTGATCTACAGGCAAGTCCTTCTATGGTTGCTCAGGGTTAAGGAGCTCCTCAGCGTACTCTCTCCATCGTCAAAAATGTTCTCATCCTCAGTAAGATGGTGTCCAGACCTGACCTTCAAGGCTCTTAAACTGTCCTTCTTTTCACCTCGTGGTTCTCAGATGGTTTGCAAGAGTACCTTGTTTTATTTCTTGAACTTCGACTGCAGCACTTCACTGATCTTCTTTCACGATTTTTTTGACTTTCGCTGCTGCTTTTGCTGCCGTCTTGCATGCTTCGACATATCGCACGCGAGTAGAAGGTTTACTGTTTCCATGCAATTTCTTGAATGCAGCCTTTTTCTCAGTAACAGCAAGTTGTACGTGTCGTTTCCACCAGGAAGTAGAGACAGCAGACCAACCCATGAAACCGCAGCATTCGGTGGCAGCTCCGAGTAGATCGCGTTAAGGGAGTTTTCACATTAGCGGTCGTCAGCGGGTTGTGGTCAAATTGCTGTGCCAAATTGTTTGCAAATTTCGCTCTCGTATTCGCCGAAGATAATATTTCCCATTTGAGTCTGGTTGCTTCTGCCAGCAGATCTTCGTATGGTACTCCATTTCTTACAACGTAGCTTGCCAAGAACAAGGTGATTCGGTTGATAGCGCTGCGTATGTGTTAACGCGAACGTCCATTACTGAATGTCTTAACTCAGAAGGATATGATTGTCAAATCTGTCATAGACTTCTGTGCACAAGCTTCTCTGTACCAAGTAACCAAGTATACTGATGCACGCTTCGATGCTCGAAGGTGTTCATAATGGACACTCCGATTTTGCAGAAAGCCGCAACAACTTCATGCCGTTATTGTTGAGGTCGCTAGGCCCATTTTTTCTAATCACGCCGTTCCACTTTTCAGCGTCTATTCCGACATGCGCATTAAAGTCGCCCATCAATATGAGGGACTCTGTATTCGGCACTTCGGGCAGAGCACGTTGCACTTTCTCAAGGAAGGTATCATATTCTCCCTCCAGATTGGGCGCATAGACCTTTAACAAGGACATAGTTTTACCGTGTTGAAGCCTCAGTCGGCGGATTGCCACTCTTTCGCTGACATGCTTATATTTAGTTATTCTGTGAGCCAATAGTTTTACTAGAATACCAACACGTGAGCACGCATTGTCGTGTAGACACTTGAGTAAAGTAGCTTCCACCCGCGGAGGTTCAGAATTCCAGAGCCTTGGCGCTTCGTTGACGTGAGTTGAAATGCGTCGAGTTGGTACTTTTCAGCCTGAGCGACTAGCTTCTGTTCTTTCCCTCTGAGTGAAATGTTCCAATTTCTGACTCAGCTGTCAGCTGAATGTCGGTATCGTTCTCGTTGAGCGTTTTCTGACGTGCTATAATGGCATCGTATTGTTTGCCTCTTCCGTCCAGAACGGGTAGCGATTCCGTGCTGATTATTATCTTCATCGTCGTTTTGTCGATCTTTGGCAGCCGGTTGCACGTTCTGACCGAGCCGGCATTATGTTCGATGATGGCAGTACCGTGATGGACTGATGGCTAAGTCTTAAGGAAACCTCGTTACAGTCTCCAACCCTCTCCTTTCTCATCCGTTCATGTGACTGGCTAAGGCGGGATTTAAAAAGACTTGAAACGCCTATTATTTACTATTTCCGTTTAACTGAGGAGAACAACTTTAATATAGACTGGAATTTGGAAGTTGCTTGAAGAATTGAAACCTGGAAATAAATTATGGCAACCTGCTTTTGCATAACAAAGAATAAATCTAAAGTGTAGCGATAAGTCATTTATATTTCAGGAAGTACAAAAATAGTTATTTCATCTTTGCAGCCACTTCAAAATATTCTTTGCAAAGCGGGTCAGAGATAGCCGAAACTCACATCGAATCATGATATTCTTGGTTCTTTAACACTTTTAGGTGCCTAAAGGAGGCCATAGCAGTACTGTTGGTAGCGTATTACCTTTCAAAAAGACATAACTTTCTAAATTTTCTTCTTTCGTATGTTACTAGCGTAAGAATTTATTTATGGTAAATTTTGTTCTTTTGTTTGTTTTCAGCAGTAGATCCATCCTGATTTTGCAAATTTGTGTCGATTTGTTGGTATCGCTGACATGGACTGACTGACATGGTTCATATGACTCATGGTATTTTAACGTTATGAGTGCTT